CCAAAATAATCGTGATTATGATTTTTGCCATAATTGCACAGCCCTAACACACAGAGACAAACACGTTGTATGTGAAAACCTACTTGGCAATAAACCTGATTCTGATGGCAAACAAAAAAAAAAGGTGTGTACAGTATTAAAGGTTTCTTATCATGCTATCTTTAGGCATACATTATGGGTCTCAGATATATAAAAAATATATAAAAGCCGTGTGTGTAAAGCCAGCCCACATTTCAGATATTACGTCATATCGGATGCAAATCTGGATCAGCTCCGTTGTGCCCCGTTTTTAGAGATTTGGGTACGGAGGAAAAGAGAGAGGGTTTTATTTTCTGACGCTGCGTGAGTTCCCCGACACACCGGGGACACATGTTGATGTAGAAGAGACATCAAAAAGTGCATTTTGCATGATAGTACACATTAGATCACATGTGTCAAACTCAAGGCCCGGGGGCCAAATCAGGCCCGTGGTGGATTTAATTTCGGCCCGCAGGATAATTTCTAATCACTATTAGATCTGGCCCGCCGGTATATTGCACCTTCACTCAATCCTGAGGGTTTCCTCCGCTCAGAGCCTGAGCCCAAACATTGATGACCTTGCACCCNAGGTTTATCTCTCATTCAGAACAATGAAAATGCTTTCCTCTCACTAATCACCATGGAAACCTTTGATCTCTGGACACATCGTTAGCTCAAATATAGACACCTGTGTCATAACTGACATGCTCAGAGCAGCAGACTTCAGATAATGGTTAATGGTCCTGCCCTCAACAGCTCTACGTCAATTATGGGGTGTCATCATATGCCGTTTCCATGGAAACGCCATAAAACAGGATGTCGCTGTAACTCCAATGGACATGGTCCAATCGTCCCCCAAACTTCGCTTGTATATCACCGGTCCAGCCCTCAACAGCTCTACGTCAATTATGGGGTTTCATCACATGCCGTTTCCATGGAAATGCATCCCTCGCCATAAAAGACGATGTCGCTCTAACTCCTATGAAAATGTTCAAAAAGTGCTCAAACTTCACATGTGTAATAACAGTCCAGCCGTGAAGACATCTACGGGACAGTTTTGTGATTTCTTCAAATGCCGTTGCCATGGCAACACAATGCTTGCCTTGAAACACGGTTTTCAAAAAACTTCAGTGAAAATACTCCAAACAGCCCAAAACTTCACAGGTTTGGTAACGATGCAGCCATCAACGCATCTAAGCGTATTATGGGGTGTCATCAAATGCCGTTGCCATGGCGACAGATCATTCGCCATCAAGTTAGTTCACAAGTTTGCAGTTCATATATTCTGCTGCTTTTCCAAGCCTTTTTACTTTCTTTTCTTCTCTCATCACACATTCAAGCCCCCAGTGTTCATGTATCATTTCAATCTAAATTCTTCACTTTCTTCTTACACATTACATTTCAGCATAGCAGTTTAGCGTCAGCTTTTCAGCATAAAGCATTCCCACTAGTAATTTCTTCAGGAATTGCATTCTCTAGTTACCTCATACAACCCCACTTCAAAACATCTAAACTATCCCATTAAGTTTCCCTGTATCTATAATGATGATGTGCTTTAGTACAAGCCTGAAGCCCAACGTCATGGAATGTCTTTCCGCCTTGTTTCAGAAGTGGCAGTGTGTAGAGGACCCGACTGGCAAGCTGAGGCTGTATAAGTGTAAGGGCATGGCAGGTCTCTTTGCTCCACGCATGCAGGCTCTGATGGCCAGAGGTGCCTCCCACCTCCAGATGCCTCCCCCCTCCAACTCTGACGGCTGTAACTGCGACGATGTGGGCTTCAAAACATCCTTCCTGAAGAGGAAGAAGCTGCTCAACAAGAAGAGTATGTTCCTTCTGTCACTCACATGCACCATTGTTCTGGTAGTCGTTATTAATAGAACTGATTATGTTCTGAAAGACGGTACTTTGAAATGTCCTTGCAGAAGCCTTGTCAAACGGGGCCATTAACATCCAGCTAAAATAACCACCTTCTAAAGTATTCATGAGATGAGGAGCATGTGTCTGTGCTGCCATCATGTGGTCGACTTCAGTAGAGCATTTAATCATAGGTCCTTTGAAGAAACACTAAAAAAGATTGCAATTGTTGTAATTTAATTCCAAGTGCACATAAAGAGTCTTACATATATCAGTATTTGCTTTTGTCATTTGCTGGTGCTCACTTGTGTACACCGCTTATATTTTGATCTTCATCCTTCTTTTTCATCTCCCTCAGATCCCTCTGTCTCATCTAAATCAGAGATGAAATCCGGTAAGGCTGTCTCGAGGAAGCGCTGGGCCCGCTCTGTGTCCTTTGAGCTGGAAGGGGACCTGTACGCTGTAGACCTGGAGCAGGGATACCAGCCCCTGGGCTCTAAGAATAGCAGCTGGGCCCCACATCAGAGCAAAGTGGAGAATGAGGAGGATAATGAAGAGTTCAGTGGCATGGGAGCCACAGCCACACCCACCACCAGCAGAACAGTCACACCACCTGCTTCTCTTAAAGTGACCTACAGGTAAGACAGTGTCTGTATTAACGTGACATGTTTGTGGTGATAAAAGGAGAAATAATGTAGACTTACACATGCTGTTATTCTTTTTTTGTATCCTGCAGGTGCTCTATTCTTATGAATGACACAGTGCAATGTGACGGAGGCCTCTACAAGTCTCTTCAAGCATGGAAAGACCACAAACTGCACATTGAGCATGAGGTGCTGATACAAACTCTTCCTCAACTCAACTTCATTTATAATGCCTTTCACACAAAAGGCACGTGAAAAAACGTTAAAAAAAACAGAAAAAAAAAAATATTTGGATTTTTGCAAGTCTAAAAATAAAAAGTTAGATAAATAGAAGTCACTAGAATAAATTAATGATAGTATGAAAAAACATGATTAAGACTTGTGTAACAAATAATGACCAGTAAAAGCCAGGCTAAAAATATATATTTTTATGTTTCTATTAAAATGTATTTTAGCTCTGAGCAAAAGTGAGTCAATAAATAATAATAATAAGTTTAAATGCATGTTGAATCGGACCCGTAAAGCCAGTTTTGCAGGTTTTTATTAGCGTGTTGTATAATTAGGTTTGTGTTGCTGTGTTTGCTCCTCCTGTGTTCAGATTGAAACCTTGCAGACCAAAATCAAGAACCTGCGGGATGTGAAAGGTCACCTTAAGAAGGTGCGGCCAGAGGATTGTCAGTGTAACACTCCCAGGTGAGAATGTGTTCGGGCAGCATTTATACCTGTGTATCAATATAACTACATAGGTCACAGTTGTTTCTTGTCTTCACAGTTATCTCTTCAAGAATAAAGAGGCCTACAGGCTCAATGCAGGGCGCATGCTCTCCGTCAAGTAAGAAATGACATTGTTTGTCAATTTATATTTCCTCATGCAGTCTTGCTCTACTGAATTGGTTTTGTTCTTATTAGAATGCCATCAAAGCTAAAGAATCAGTGGCTCCAAAAGGAGCAGAAGCGCAAGAAGAAACTACGTAAATTCCTCAAGAGGCTCCAAAACAACGACACTTGCAGCATGCCTGGCCTCACCTGCTTCGTCCATGACAACCATCATTGGCAGACGGCCCCCTTCTGGACAAGTGAGGAACAACATAAAGATAAATAACTTTTTTTCAAAGCAGCTATGGTGACAATCGTTTTTTGGAACAGTGTTGTAATAACCCGTTGTTTTCCACTCCCACCCCTCCCTTCCTCACCTACTCCGGTACCTCCCTCACTCAGTGGGTCCGTTCTGTGCATGCACCAGTGCCAACAACAACACGTATTGGTGCCTGAGGACCATCAACGACACGCACAACTTTCTGTTTTGTGAATTTGCCACCGGTTTCCTGGAATATTTTGACCTCAACAGTGACCCATACCAGGTATTTCATTTATACAGCCGCACTGAATAATATTTCAGACGCATCAATAACATAATAACTATAAAATGATACCACAACATGATTCATAGTGCATTCCTGTGAGCACAGGGGGTACTGATTTTTCCAGAGATTTCACAGGAAAACACTTACTGACATTCTTTCCTTATTATTCCTGTAGCTGATAAACGCCGTCAGCAGCCTCGACCGCAATGCTCTGAATGCAATGCATCAACAGCTCATGGAGTTACGGGCCTGCAAGGGACACAAGCAATGCAACCCAGAGAAGGGTGAGTAAGAAGCCTCTCAGGCAAACATGATTGATTATAGTGTCTCCGGTCATTTTACACTGAGTCTAATGTTACCCCTGCTTCCTTTCAGGAGGAAAAGAGAAAAACTACTTCAGTGAATACAGGTATTTTTTTTCTTCCTCCTACAGCGCAGTTGATTACTTTCACAAACACTGCAGATGGATTTCAGGTTACAATTTGAAAGGTTGGAGGTTACGGCCTCCCTAGAGGGCCCTTGGTTATGTTTTATTCTCACTATGAGTCATCTGTCGGGAAAGTAAAATTCTGTGATGTTGAGCTGAAATTGAACCTCTTCAAACGGGTTCCTTACCGTTGTGATCAAAGGCTCTTTAGCATGCAGAAGCCAAAGAGGGCCGAAATGCAAGCTTGCTTTTTAGCTTCTGCTCTACCCTTCTTGTAATGAAGCCTAATTGCTTTTCTCTGCTGTGTGTGTGTGTATATGTGTGTGTGTATGTGTGTGTGTATATATATGTATATACACCTGTTTGTTTGTCTCCATGCACTTGCATTTGCCCCGCGCGTGTGTACGTGCTGTGCATGCCTCAGGCCAGTTCATCGTCGAAAGAGGCCAAAAGTGAAGAAGCCTTCCTCCAAATCGCTGTGAGTTTGTCATAACCCATCTGTTCCCGCGTAGTAAGCCAAGCTCTTCCCCTATCTCCATCCAGATTTGTTTTCCGCTTGGTCAGGTGACCCAGCAGCATGCTCCCCTCACCCATTCTAATGTTCTTCTCCTATACTTACAGTAATTCTGCATTGCAAAGCTGCACTCCATCTTCTTTTCCATTCCACCACTCAAGTCAATAATCAATGCAGATGTGACGTTGTGTCATTATGTTGTTTTGTTCTGTTGTGTTTAGTCCTGTTCTTGTCATTTCTTACTTTCCCTTGTAGTGTTCGTAGGAACAGATCACAGCTAGAGCCATGGTTTCCAGTGAATGCCTCAGTTAGAACATTTAACTCACAGTGTTTTCTCCCATTCACAGAGGGCAGATCTGGGAAGGATGGGTTGGTTAACCGCCTGCATGCCACAACCCACCTCATCAGCCTCCTCCTGAAGGAAGGAGATTGAGGACCAGAGGACCTTGACCACACTTTGATGGACCACAACCTGAGATACTCCTTTACTCTCATCTGGGTTTTACTCACCCAGGCAGAGGAGATGCTGAGAATGACAGGAAGCGCAAAGACTTTTCAATTCCACGTTCGCACACATTTCATTCTCATTATGTTCTGTTACCCCTCAGCTGTCCAGAACATTAACAGGGAGCTGCGAATCAGGTTGGACAGTTTGATGTCCACAAGCCATTCTGTCCAACCGTACTGCTTGTACATAATATATATCAGCTTTCTTTCGTGTCATATGGGACTATGTTGGAACACCGTGAGTTACAACTCTGCTGCTACTCAACGATGTCACGGCCCTCATGATGTCTCTGTGGCACATGCTGATTAGCTTAAACATTTGGAGTAACAACAGGACATGTTTTCTTTCTCTGCACCAATGTGTCTGCACATGTAAGTGGTATGGCGTTTAAACGACAGACGAGACTCTTTCGCCATAATCTTTTGTATTATAGTTGTAATGCTGATGAATGTCCTTTATGAAGCATTATCTTCCTCAAAGCTGTGAGATTGTCTGCCTTGATCCAAACACACCCAGTGTCAGCCACTCCTTGGACAGGCCTGTAGATCCCACCACTTCTCACAATGATACAACTCAACCGTCCAGAATATTTGAGCACTGGAAGGTGTCCTAAGTGAAAACCATTGTACTGCTTTGTATCGCGAGTTATCGCACTGTAGAAATATCTAAGTTTTGTTCAGCTTGCTCTATATGGTGCTACAGGATATCAATACAGAGGTAAAATCTTGCTGTACAGTACAGTATGTATTTGAATGTATGTTGTGCAATTAATATAAATGTTTACAATATTTTTTATAATACTGAAGAGGCAGAGCTCCTTGTATGATATGGGTATAAACTTGTAGGGAGAAATGTAGCTTGAAATTGCCCGAAACTGGTATGTCCTTTCCTTATTTACATCGGAAAAGCACTTAAAGGGTCCACTGTGAAGAGATGCGTTTAATGGATAAATAGTTTACTCTGTGCCAGAGGAACAACACAACAGTGTAATAATTATTGATGTGAATTTTAGCTATCTGCCTTTGTTAGCTTCTTTAATTATAATTTTTTCTAGCAAAGTTTCCATAGACCTGAGCGCTGATAGTAATTGTGAATAAAGTGTTGTTTGAAACTGAACGAGCCGAGTTTAATTGTGAAAGTGCATGGTGGTTTGTGTTCCTGTCCAGCAGGGGTCTCTGTCTGTCCAAAGGCTAACACCAGGGTAACATCCAGTCTATGCTATGGGTAACATGCTACTTAATTTACAGCACAGTGCAAATACAATGGTGCACAGAGAGTTAGGCGTGATAATAAAGTAAAGAGTTAGGCTCCTCTGCTCTTTGACTGGATGAGTAAAATGAGAATAAATTGTAAAATGGGAAATGCAAGAAGTACTCGGATAATTTACTTAAAAGTAGTACTACTGCAGTGTAAAAATACTCAGTTATAAGTAAAAGTTTTGCTTTTAAAAATGTACTTCAGTAAAAGTACAAACGTTTTTGCATCAAAATGTAATTTCAGTATCAAAAGTAAAATTACTCGTTTTGCAGAATGGTCAGTTTAAGCACCATATCTTTTTTTGGATTGGGAGGGATGGGATTGAATTAATCCAAAATGTTGTGTAACCTGAATTGTCTAATATACTGTGTTGTAAATTGAAGATGTTGCAATAAAAAATGTATGATAAAAAAAAATGTAATCTGCAAAGTAACAACAAACTGAATCTGTAAAATAAATGTACTGGAGTAAAAAGTACAACGCTGCAATTGTAGCAGAGTAGAAATAAAAAGTAGTGTAGAAATAATTAAGAACAGTACTTCAATACATTACACCACTTATTTTATGCTATTTAAATAATGAAAAAGTATACCACATAGCACATATTGCTGTGTTGCTTAGCAACCCCAGTGTTATGCTAGGCTACTTTTCAAATAGTATCTTTAGCTAACGGCTAAAATGTGGTCAGACTATTTGATAAGCACCTTTTACGACTTCATTAAACACAACCATGATACATAAACTATCAAATGAAATGAAACAGAAACATAATGTAGTTATTTTTTAATTCACAGAAAGATAGCTTTAAACGTTTATATATTGCTACAACAACAAAGTGGCCGTTAGTGTTCCGTGACGCAAAACGTGATGTGATAGTTGTCCACAGACATTTTATGACTGGATTGTTCAGCCAACTAAGCCATTAAAATGTTTTTCTTATGGTTTGGCCCCTCTACTCTTTCCAGACAGCCAGTGGTGGGGATACAGGGACGTGGAGGGGGTGCAGACTGGGTGACCCCCATCCCAACCTATGACTCACATGCGGGGGCGGAGACTCCATATCGGATTCACCACGAAGGACTGTCCCGTACTCACTCGTCGGACGACCGTACTGTTCGCACAGAAAACTACCTTCAGCCCGACACCAGCTGAAATATCGTTTTCCTTTAGCTTACGCCTCGTTTACAATGTGAAGAAAAAATGGCCGGAACAAGGTACGTTATCTCTCATTTCGATTATAACTGATAGAAACTTAACTAGAGAAAGTTACGAAGCTCGGTTGCCTCGCAAACCAGCCCGCCGCCGACAGCTTTCTGAGGGCAGACTATGAACCAGACCACGCCGCTGTGCATTGCATTACATGTTTTCAGTATTTTAAAATGTTTGTTGGTAGTTTTATAACTTCAATTATTGCTTACATTTCTGGAAATTAAGTTACATGATTGGGAAAAGTCAGTAATGTGAAGAGAGTAGGTTGAAATGATTCATTTAACCTCGACATTTAAATAATATTAGCTATTGGTGTCGCTATTTTTATTAACAACAAGTGGTGTAAAGTAACTAAGTAGATTCTACCCAACTACAATTCAGGGGTTAATTATGTACTTTTACTCAACTACATTTACTTAATCCCTTTAGTAACTTTACAGATTTGGAAAAATTATGTGAAATATATTAAGTTTACAGAATACTTTTGTGTTCACAACCCTGCAGCAAACAATTAAAATAAGCTGCACCTTTACCAACTTGATAAATACATAAAATCAAATCATTATTATCAAACATGTAATATATATTGTTCTTAAATGGTCCAATCTGCATAATGAGTACTTTTACTTTTGGCACTTGTATATTTAGATGCTAACACTTTAGTACTTTTACTTGAGTAACATTTTGAATGCAGGACTTCTACTACAGAGTATTCCTCGACTGTGGTACTTTTACTTAAGTACAAGGTCTGATTACTACCACCCCTGTTTAAAGGCAGTGTAGGTTGCTAGCTTGTAGGCTATGATTATGATAGAAATGTAACCCTTAAAGTTGAGTTCTGCCACCACTTAGTACCTGTAGTTGTGGGGGAAATTGAGCTGACTTTCTTTATATTTTTTCCCCAAGTCTTTGCTGTGGTTAGTAGGCAATAACCAAACGGAAGTCAAATGTTCCACAGCCCATTTGTTGCTCCAATTTTTACTGGAGGAAGCTAACTGGAGCTCAAATAGCTACTGGTTTGATCTCCACATGTTGAATTTCTTCTGCATCTGCTTTGCCTGCATTAAAACTTTGTTTAGCTTTTATCGGCTTCTTGGGACAGATGGTTTGCTTTAGTCCCCACAGTCTATTTAAAAATGTTGAGATGTATTAGGATAAGCTGCTTTAGGATCTCTCCAACAACTTCTTTTTATTACTTATGCTTTTGTATAGTTCAAACTTGATGGCTTTTAATGGCTAAAGCTGAAGTTTGAGAGTCTTTGATATCATATTATTCCTATGTATTTACCTCCTGCTGAAAACTAAACCATGGACATTGTTGGAAAACAATCTGCACAGACAGATGTCATTTATATAGCCTGAAGCGTTTAGTTTGGCACGCCATGCCACCCTGTCTTCCTGGGTGCAGCAGTTTCACCTTTCTCTGCCAGCTGGTGCTCATCTGATGACAGCGCGGTGTTGGTTTATGCAGACGTGTTAACTTCTCCATCTGTCCAGCACTACATCTCTATCTGTCCACCAGCACTACAACACAGACAGAGAAAGGCAGGACGCCGGGACAAGACAATGGTCCCTTTGGTTTTCGCTCGCTCCTAAAACGTGTCTTCCACTCATTTGGGCCTTTCAACGTGAGGAGTGGACATTAACATAGTCTTAACATTGTCTCACTGTTATCCTTGTCAATGGGCATACAGAAGGGAACAAACCATGCATTTCCCTAACAAGATAGATCAAAACTGGGTCTTTTGAAAAGGACAAGGCAGGATGTCCATCCTACAGAGAATTTGACAACGGAAAAGTTTGTTTGCATGTTGAGAGGAAGTGATTTTGACGCCTGTACTTTTTATGCGCTTTGACATTTTACCAATGTAATGGCTCATTTTGGAGAAACACTTTTTTTGGACAATTTAAAACCAATTATGTTTCAATTATTTCTTTTTTTTAGTACTATACGCCTACTAACATAGCTGCGTTTTATTGCTCTTATTGCTTCACTCACACTTTTCATCTCACCGTTATTCTCTGCGGTCTGCCACAATGAAACAGTAATGAGGTTAAAGTGATTTGCCAAAACACATTTATATGTACCTGTGCAGACGCTTTTATTTTAAAAACCTTTCCTCTGCAGAGATTAAAGGTGGGGTTAGCTTCCTGGCCCACACTAGCTGGAACCTGAAGCTCAGTGTGCTGATCATTACTCAATGGCTTTAAGGAATAATAGCTTGTGGGATGGTCATACGCTCTAATACGCTGTGAGGATGAATGAGTCATGTTTTTCAGAATTGCTGACAATTCTTTATAATCAAGTGAGCTGTCAGTAAACAACCTAAATGAGCTTTACACTAGGGCTGCACGATATTTGAAAAAACAGACATTTTAATACCTTTTATCCAATTGTTTCTTTAAATTGAATCGACTGCAATTGGCACGTTTGCTTTGATTGCTTGATAAGATAATAATGAACGATTGTGATTAGTGTATGCAGAGCCTGTATGGCACACACTAGCAACAAACTGAGTTACCAAGAACCCTTAAATCAGAGGAAAATAGGTTATACTGTCTGGGACATACTTCAGTTGTAAGTAATAATTGGAAAGGTGATCTTTCCTTTTGTATCAGCTGCATACAAATTGAAGCATGGCTTGTTTGTGTGAATTTGCCTTAATTTGCAAGTCCTATTTTACTATTGTGAAAGCACACATCACAATGTCAATGCTGCAAGGATATATAGTGTAACTCTACTCAGCCCTACAGACACATAAAACACACCAGACACATAGAAATGTAACTCTGCCTCGAGCACAGTATTTCTTTTGGACCCTGAAAAGCTGCATCACAGTTGTCTCCCTCCATTCCAAACATAAAGCTGTGTTGTTATCAAGAAATATTAATCCGTCCCTTCACCGAGGATCCCTAGCGATGGCCTCTTAAATCATAATCCCCCAACCCCCCCTTCTTGGGGCCCGTACATCTCCACCAGGCTGCTCTGCACTTCTAAGCCTGGAGATCTGCCGTCTGCACCTTCACTTCCTCCAGAGCACCATCCGGACGGTTGTTTCCTGTGTGGCTCCTTGGGCCAGCCACTGAACCCCCACTCACCCTGTAACTCGGCCCTTGGATTAGACTCTGGCATCGTTTGTCATGTCAGCAGGGAAGGATTTCGGGGGGGGAAGGTGGGGTCTAACTCAAAATGAAGTGACAAATCTCTGCTGCTGGTGGTTGGCGAGCAGGTCAGAAACTCATAGTAAATGTTATTTTGGACGCGCTCAGATGGCAGAGAGTTTATTTTTAAAAGGCAGAACATGTCTTCATTTTAAGTATGACCCTAAATGATCTGACAAGATAATGTTTGGACAATGAATGTTTAGGGTTATTAAGCACAATTACAACCTAATAGGTTAATTCATTTCTGTTGTTTGGATAAGTGACCCCATTGTTCCCGCTCCGACAGCTGGTGTACTGGACAAGGCCGGCCTGTATGTGTGGTAAACACCCGGATCCCGTCCTCAGCCTTTCCTGCACATGTTCACTCTCGTCCAAAGTTTTATCTGACCTGAAAAATCCCCATGTGTTCTTCTGCGAAGGAAAGGGGAGGATTTAAGGAAGGACAGGGACTTCTGTTTGGTCAGGCTTACCCCTATAAAAAGACATTTATTGACCCTGTCGTTGGAGTAGTGTCTCAGACAGACCGTGACTGTTCAGCCGAGCAGTAAGGGGGCCGGAAGTTCCCAGCATTTCTGCTGAAAGCTGCAGCTTTCGTGGGAGAAGGGAGAATGGCAGGACAAGACAATACTCTCCATACAGAAATCACAGGGCGCTTCTTCTCTGCAGTGAGTTTGAAGGCGGATTACAGGGAGGGCATCTGAAGTAACATTCAAGACTGCCAACGCTCAAATGTTCAGCTGGAACCGGTGGTGAGGTAGGCCCTATTATCTGACATCTCGTAAAGAATCGGTTTGTTGCAGCGGGGGTGAACGATTTGGCATCTACAGGGAATTTCATTCTCTCAGGCCATGTTAAATTGCTAGTTGGAAAGAAGCATGGGAAAAGCTGTCCTTGCTGAAGGGTGGCTGAACAACCTTGTGCGATCCAGTCTAATCCAGTGCCAATGGAGAGGGGAAACTGTCTCTAGTTCTGGATTAGGGCAGCTGTTGAAGGAGGTCACCCCAGACCTCGTATACAGTCCTCCCCGCCGCGGCTCTGATTGGCTGGGCTCCCCTGTGTGGAGGCACCACAGAGAGTTCTCGCTGAATGAAGTCTGCCTGTTGATCTGACAATAGTCTGTATTGTTCTGTTCCATCACAGGCTTTAGAATAGGGTGCATTTCACAGGCTTTGTAATGCACATGACCGTGAGTCAACACAGGACATTCTTATCAACTAGGTAACCATTTTGTTCTATTCCCACTCTTTCATGTCTAACGAGAAAGTGTTGGCGGCTGCAGCAAAAAGGAAAATGTTAAGACTTCTCAGTGAGATCAGTGTGTTTGCGTGGATCTGTCAAAATAGCCCTATGCATTCCTTCTGGCTGAAGACATTACAGTATTGGCTGCATTATGCAGAAATCGTAACTTTTTATTTTATTCCTATGTTTAAATAAACAAACAAACATCCAACAGTGGCACACGCTGAGGCATAAGCCTAGAAAAAAACCGGAGCATCTGGTTCTTGTGGTTTTAGGAGTGTGCATCGCTGATGACTCGGACATTCCTATCACGCTATTCTCATGTGATACTATATACTATATAACATGAAAGAGTTAATTGGAGGTATGTTTACTAATCACTATTGACTGAAAATGACGTGTCCTTGTTGTGTTTGACTTAACATACATTGGCAGGAAGATAGTGTAAAAGGGAGCAATCTGATGGGGTTCAACACTTTACTTTTATATCTGGCATATCATGGGACTGTACTGTCTGCCTACTGCTTTCTGAGATCAGTACTGCCATAAAAAAATTGTCACATCTAGTAAACAGCTTGTTAGCGTCTTATCCATGCCGGCCTTTTGGAGGTAAATCAGGTGACAGTGAGCTCAGGAGTCCCTCTGTTCATCGTTATCCTTGCCAGCCTTGTTCTCTCTGCCAGGCATGTGGCAGTTTGTTCTTAAAGTGATTTAGCTCTCCTCTTTCCCTTGGCAACATGCAGCCCCGGTTCCTGGGTCATTAAGTCCGGCTCCTTCGTGCCTTACGTTTCTTGCTGTGAAAGACGACCCCTGAACTTGTTTGCCAATGTCAGCACACTAGAAGTGAGGAATGGACACTGACAACTGCTGCTGAGGGCTGGGGGGGAAAAGAGCAAAGTGGAGGAGGGGTGAAGGAGAGAGAAAAGGTTTGAAATCTTATTCAGGCCATGTCCTTATTAATGCAGTTCACTAAGATGTCTTCATTTAAAGTGCAAATGAATATAAATCAATTGAAAGGCTCATTTATCATCCCAGCTTCTTCTCCATGATTTCTCACACCCTTTTGATCATCTGAATTCACCAGGCGCTGAGCAGAAGATAGATTATCTTTGCCCGCAAGGCAAAGCAACACACTATACACAGCCTACATTCAATGTAGTGATTCAAAAGACTTTATAGATTCTCTCAAAAGGCAGAATAGTAAACAATCAGGCAGCATGCGGCCGTGTGTCTGTTTTACAAAGCACGCCACTGTTAAAGTCAGAGAACAAGATAAGTATACAGCATCCTAACCCGGGGTATTAACTTTATGAGGGGATAAATGCCAAGTTGCCTTTCAGAAGTCCATTACTCTGTAACAGACTCGGCAGTCTTTATGCAGGTTTGTTTGTTGTCAAATTAAATGCATGGCCTACTTGCATTCTCACGGGGACCAATTGTACCATAAGTTCTACGACCTCTAACCCTGGTGACAGGACAGGAATGGGAGGTGTTAAACAAAAGAGCCGAAGAATGTATGAATGACAGGTGCAGGGCTTTTCTGTCTGTCATCTGAAACATGTGCACTCTCCCCCTGGTTGTTCTGGACGCCCGGGCGGAGTTTAGGAGTCAGCTCACACATCCTGCACAGAAAAGATCCGCCAACACCTCGTCCCAGCTCTGTTTGCAACAGAAACATTTAATTCAGCATCTAGGAAACAAACATGGGGACTAGATGAACCTCCATCAAACCTGATTCAGGTTGTCACTATCAACAAAGAGTACGGGCGATGGAAATACAGCAGCCCGAGCTGACCTATCCTTTGTTGCCCTTATTTTTATTGGGTTTGGGAATTGCATGCCACTTATGTCGAGACCCTGACCTATGCCAGCCCCCCTATAAATCCTTAGAAAATCAAACGGCAGCAACCAATTATTCTGACTAAAGTATTCAAAGGGATTGTTTGGATTTTCTGAAGTGAGGTTGTACGAGTCACTTATTATAGTCGGTGGTCAGCTCGTGCCCAGTTTGGAGAAACAGACAGGAGAATGGGCAGAGGGCAAAGCAAAGTCCTTCCTCGGCTAGCAGCAGCAGGAATGGCTTTCTTCAATGCTACCAGACCACATTGAATAAACAATGATTTTACATTGCAGAATACTGGAATGTTTGTTTGTTGTTTGACTTTGATGAATCCTAACTAACCATTTTATAACACTAAACTAACCCATCGAGGCATCTTTTTTGTCAATGGAGACAGCTGGGCTCAAAATGGGAAGATGATTGTCTCGGCTTATTGAAAAGGGCTGTCTCTTGGCGGTGCACATATTCTTTATATAGCTTATACTAAAACAAAACCATATTTTTCAGATGGGTCTTTCTTTGAGGTGTCTACTGATGTCCACTGTTAAGTGTAGGTAATAAATGGACTATGGACAGGTAGCCTACCTCAGACAAACCCACTTCAAAAATGTTCTTTAAAAAAGAAGGTGTAAAGTGAACGTCTCTCTATTTGTCTTAAGTGCAGTCGTGTCCAGCTGATAAGGTTGCACGTCGTGGAGCTGCTGTCCACTTCATCCAGAAAGCGGGACTGTCGCCACGACACTCAACATGCCGGGTTTACGATTGCTCTCTTAGTTAGTCACAGCTACTGGAACTGCTGCCAAGCGCTCAGTAGTCTCTCCATGTCTCTGCTCTTGTTTTACAATATTTAGATAAGCAGGTTGCCTAGCAGCCATACTGAATAGACTTTGCACATGGTTTATAGATCATCCAACAGACTTCTACTTATGGCAGATCACTCCTTTTATTATATTGGGCTGCAGGCCTCTGCTTGCCCTGAGAAAGCACATTACCAGTACTTTCTCATTGTTGCTACATTTTTAATAGTTTTGTACTCGTGCGATTAGGTGAGTCTAAATGTATTCCTCTTCTCTCAGCAATTACTTATTTCAAGGCCAGTATCTGAGGAGAAAGGAGGTTTTATGTCTGTAAATAGGAAAGAGCAGGTCTGTAAAAATACCGGCCAGGGTGGACCTTGGCCTGGTGAACAGAGGGCTAAGGTTTCCTATGAATGGCAGACCCTGTGTGAGAACTCAGCCTGCCTCGGTCCACAAGGGACGGTCACTAGCAAAAGCTCAGAATAGTGTGTTGTTGGAAATGGTTAGAGGTTACCTTGCAGGAGTCCTGTTGGTAAATGGGAGTTTAGATGGCTCGCTGGTTTGTCTATAATCTCACTTTAACAAGTGTCTGGTAAAATTGATGCATTTGGCTCTAAAGGCGTCCTATCTGTCCATCAGCAATGTCACTAAGGCATGTAGCTGCATTTCAGCCATCACTAGATTATCTGATGAAATGCTACACAGAAAATCTTTTACACTCTGTAATGTTTTTTCTTTTTTGGACAATATCAACAGCCACATTGGTCTTTGAGTTTGTTGGAAATCCATAGTTGGACAATGACACAAGGGAGCTCGTTGCCCTATTTGTAGTGAATGTATTGTCCAGTCCTCTATGTTTACCGCTGCTGGGAAAAGTGCCATTTACTCTTCGGCGTTGGCTTCGAACAATGGGGCAGATTCCATGAGCTATATTCTGTTGTTTCCCTCACTCTGGGAAACCGCTCTCAGTTCTATTTAACTTTGGACCTGACTCCAAATTGTAGATGATAGATGATGTACGTCTCTTTCAGGAGACCTTTGGCTCGTTGGGACTGGGAGTAACAAGGTTGTTAAGAAGTTGTGCTTGACTTTGCGCGTGTCCATGTTTCAGTTTTGGCCTCTTGGTCAAAGTGGCAGGCTTTGTTTGCACAGATTTCTTTTTTACAAGCTATATTTTTAGTCGCTGTGGAATAAACATAGACAAGCATCTCCTTGACCCAAATGGGGGAGAGAGAGGGGGAGAGAGGGAGAGATAGAGAGAGGGGGAGAGAGAGAGAGAGAGAGAGAGAGAGAGAGAGAGAGAGAGAGAGGGAGAGAGAGAGAGAGAGGATTTAACTAAAAGTTACTATAATTAATAGTGTGTCTAATACAATCTGTAAGATCCTACTATCCTAAGAAATAGTACTGGTTTAGGACCATGCACACCCCCACCACAGGTCTCTGGCATACACGTCTGCTTCAATTAGATTGAGTTTCCCCAGAGGTACATCAGGTGCTGTCTCGTTCAGTCAAAGGGCCGTGTGTGTAACAAGTTAATTTTAGTTCAATATAAAACATTTCTGTTGGAGTCCAACATCGCTGAGCTGGTGCAGACTGCATTCCAAACCATTTATGAACATTTGCAGCACGAGGAAGACTGCCCCGTCCTGCACTATACTTTTATGTCTGCCTCTTGAGTCAGGGAATCAACTCAAGCTGTGTAGGCTGAAGTTAATATGTGCATGGATTTTAAGATATATCGTAGAAATTCAAAGCAAGTGGAATGCTGTTGATGGCTACCTTATTTTTTGAAAATGAAGGGGTTATTCTGTTTCTGTATTGTTATTTTAATGTGTCCAACCTCATCCAGTTAGATCCTCGACCTGCAAAAGTCCATTTTGTACTAGACAAACTCATGAATTGGACATCCCATCTGTTTGAATGTTCCCAAAAGGGATGTACCAGGAATTTCCGCACCTGGACACTGGTCCTTCTTCCTGCTTATCTGGTCGTGTCAACAGAGCCCAGCAGGCTCGCTCTCAGCTCTAAATGTGGTTTATTTACCTAGAGGGAATAGCCCTTATGCAACCACTACACCCCGTGCTGCTAAACTCGTCAGCCGTGGCCCCGACAATTGACCCTCAAAGCATGGTTTCCTGTCGGGGTGTTCAGGGCATGGTACAGCATGTTTAATTCTGTGCAGGTTTTCACAGAAAGGGACAGACAGTCTCCACTTTCCTTCACCGCATGTTCATAAGGGATCGGTTCAAGTTGAGAGTGATGACAAACGCAGGCCTGAATAACAAGGAATGCAGCATGGAGATATCGGTTCTCAGAGTTGTAAGGCCTCTTTGGGAGGGCCGGGGGCATTAAGAGGATACAGCGCTGCTATGTGTGGGGTGGTATTGACTGTTTGTCCTCCGCTATGAATGCCCCATTCTTTGCTAGGCTCCCATGAAGTGTTGTGAATCTAATCAGTCTGTAAGTCATCTTCTGATAGTGGGGCCTCATTGTGGGGCTCAGACTGTAAACACCATTATGCTGCATTAAACCCAACCCCTGCCACTCAAACAAACACATGCATACATTTTCTGACACTTCTTTCCACTTTTTCCCTCCTTAATTTACCCCTTTCGTCCAACCTTAAACCTTGTTGGGTTCAAAACACAGTCTTCAATTGGAAAGGTCAGGGTTGCTTGCTTGCTTGCTGTGAGGGATTGGACCAGATGGCTCCCAGCATACATGGGAAGACAGTATGTGAAAAGCTTCCATATCCTCCCCATGCTCTTTCTATGTTAACCTGGCTGTTACAGTACATTGACCCACCGAGGGCCTGGTACTGGCAGCACATGAAAGACGTGCAGGTGGATATACTTTATACATGATGAACAGGTAGTTAGTCAAAGCTTTGCAGTTAAAATGGAGAGCAGCTGTTGTTCCCAGTGAGTTACGGTCAACACGGTGACATTGTAACCCTGGAAGACCTATGTGTGCCGCACACAGGGTTGATTTGGCAGGCACATGAGGAACGAATGGCGGTCATGTGATGGACACTGTCGGCTCTCTTATCCACGCTAAGCTTCATGCCCCTTTGGATCATCACAGGTAGCCCTGACAGCAGACTCACTGTCACAAACATCCGTGACAGTGAGAAGAAAAGCTTCTCTGTCCTGAGAAAGCTGGGAAGGTTTCCAAACCTGTGGCGGATTGTTGTGACACTAATTCCTCCACACTGGCAATTTTCTACCACACATTCTAGGCTAGAATGGGGTGGGATACTGGAGAAGACAAATGATCTAACTTCACCAAAACCTCCAAGTAGTCATTATGAAAAGGGAGCGTTGAGATTTATTGGATATTTTTGAGTCCTTTCTCCTGTGTGTGGGTCTGGGGAAAGGACACTTGCTGGCTGTTTGCAGTGTTCCTGTTCCCGCATGGAATTGCTGGCACAGTTAAGGCCTGCATTAAGGAACTAGATCAAAGGAGACATAATGGAGCCCACTTAGACAGTAGCATGACCTGGATATCAAGCACCAGCAAACTGCAGACCTCAATCATTTGTCACACATTTATTGACCCTGATGTAGGTGGCTACAGCACATACCTGCAATATGGGATGACATCATTCCACTGCAATATGCCACACACTTAGTTTTAGATAGTGTCCTATCGTTTCTCAGAAATTCAGTTCATGGTCTTGCCTTTTGCATATTTTTTCTCCAATGTGGGTTGTCTTTTTCTATTTCTCTCCCTGCCTCTAATTCTATTTTTGCACCACCCCTCTGCTGTGTCTTCTTTGTTGTCTGTGAGTATTGTGCTGAGCTGGCTGTTGCCACTCAGTGATTGTAGCTAAGCTCTGTGGTTTTTGCGTTAGTAGCACTCTGAGCGTATTGCTCTCTTTGGGCCCTGCTGACTCCATGCCTGATGTCTCACTGGGCATGTCCACCTGTTCCCTTAATAAGGAAACGCACACACCACTCCTGCTGCTCCATTGCCTACCAAAGAGATGACATCATTGCTCACACACACACACACACACTCACACTCACACTCACAGATGGATGCTTGTAGGGGATACAAGCATTGACACTCTCTCCATATGGCGAGTGTGCCTATTTGGGCTTCTCAGTCTGTTTAACAGTGTGAGTTGTTTACTGGTTGTCGGGTTGATTAGTACTCAGGCGTGACTGTGGCCTCGAATGCATCATCTTATCGTGTTGGTGGTAATCAGCATTTCATTCAGATCTCAATACTTTTTATGTTATTTATGACACTTATGGATAGATAAATACATTTAAACTGCTGCTACTAATTCTTTAGCCATGGTTGTGTACTTATTTGTCTTTATTTGTATTACTAATGTGTTCTTTTCTTTTTTGTTATTGCTTGCCTTTTTTACCTGCTATGCCACTTTTGCAGTAACAATTTCAATTTCCCCGCTGTGGGAATAATAAAGCAACTCTAATTCTGATACTGAATTTCTTTTCTTTCAGTGCTGACTGGGTGGAGATCCTGGAGCCACGCTCCCGTGAGCGTATGTATGTGAACTTGACCAGCGGGGAGTGCGGCTGGGAAGTCCCGTCAGGTGTTCCTGTCCGGCAGGCAGACGGTAACCAGTGGTGGGAGCTGTTCGACCACCACAGTGGCCGCTTCTACTATTATAACTCCACCGGACGGCGCACAGTCTGGCATCGACCCCAGGGTGCTGATATAGTGCCGCTCTCCCAGCTCCAGGCCATGAGGCGGTGCAGCGAGGCCAAGCGGGCCGGAGGCAGCGTGGACAAGAACCTCCATGGAACCACGGGGAGCATCAGCAGCGTGGAGAGGAACCACCATGGAACCACGGGGAGCATCAGCAGCGTGGAGAGGAACCACCATGGAACCACAGGGAGCATCAGCAGCGTGGACAGGAACCACCATGGAACCACAGGGAGCATCAGCAGCGTGGACAGGAACCACCATGGAACCACGGGGAGCATCAGCAGCGTAGGGAGCCAGGGCCGCTTCACCCCTCTACCGGAGCAGGACGGAGACAGCCCTGTCCCCAGAGCTTCGGACACCAAAGAGGAGGCCGACACCCCTGAGCTGGACCCGGCTGAGGACACGAGACATCAGGGAGACGGAAGCAGCAGCGAAAACAGCACAGACGCCAGCAAAGACCCTCAGAGGTAAGCCTGACCCAACGTACGGTAGCCCCTACAGTAAGTCTGGAACTGTACTTAATCATTAGTGGATCAAATTACCAGGAGAGAAGTCAGGAAATGTGATAGTCATCGCAGCATGTGGCATAGTGAGCCATAATGACTTTCAAATGCTCCTGCTATGAGAACTCGCAGGATTATTTTGACTTTTGACCGCTCAGGCTGAACTCAAACTGCCTTTTTTATTTTCCTTCTCACTTATCTGAACATTCCATATGTCCCCTGTTTCCATACGGCTGCCTGTGAAGCGTGCTAAGCCATTTCAGCAAATCGCTACCAAATGGGGAGAACGGGTCAGTTATATTACAGAGCACGACATTTCCCCCCCCCCCTCACACTAGGGTTAGTGGGGCAGAACGGCCCCAAACAGTAAGTCATTCAGAGACACCATCATGTGCTCGGAGTTTTGGCCCCGTCCAAACCACCGTCTCTTCCCTCCAAGCAAAATTCCCCACATGCCACTTGTGTTTCCCCTGGCAGAGTGCCACCAAGGCTGTCTTAGTGTCCTTCTGTACACTCACAACCACCCTGCTGTGCTCCAATGCCTATTTAATTTTCCTCAAACAAATATAGGCCCCAGGCGATCAAAGACTGGTTACGCCCCGAATGGGTGGGAGCTTAAATGTGCATGCATGAGAGGCATGTGAGAGAGTGTTGTCTGTGGTTAATGGCAAACACAACCGCCACATTTCAGCCGCCTGTAAACAAGGCGAACCCTGCTGGTTTTCATAGACTCTGCTCCGGTTCATCCCGGCTCTTCTTGTACATCACCATGGCTCTCAGGAGGTCTCTCCCCTGACCCTTCAATCCTTTGGGATAACGTAAAAGTGGAGGGGGAACTAATTGTTCGTCCACGGCTGTTGAATGACACAACTGGAGGTAGCATCTTGCATTACTGATGTGCACAGGGGGTGTTAAAACTCTCCACTTTTCCCCAATGATTCAACCTCTCACAGAGCCTTTTTCTGCCTTCCCTTAAACAATAGCCAGCTGTGTTCCTCAGAGTAAAGCAGAGGAGTATTTATCCGTAGAGGTTGGTCACCCTACTTAGCCATATGGCTCTTCACATGCTCACCAGCCTCCATTTTTAGCAGGTAATTGGATACCATTACAAAATGCACAGAGACGGTGGAATGTGACAGCTCAAAGTGGATGAAAACAAACTTTGAGACATGCTTGTCTTCAGTTGTTGCCCTGCCTGATTAATAATGACAAGAACCAATGGGTAAGGGTTGCCGGGGTCACAGTCAGTGCATGACATTAAGGATTTGTGGGCCATCTAAGCTAATTTACAGATGGCCCTGAGCCCAATAGAGATTGCCCTGAAAAATGCGCGGGGACGAAATGACGCACGAAGGGTTTGGGGGGCCTCCCCCTAGAACATTTAGATTTTTGCAGGTCTTAGATGCTGTCTGGTGCATTCTCTAGACTGAATTATAAGATGAACCAGCACAATATTATATTGTACAATTTCAATTTTATTCTTCATTTCACTTGTTTGTTTGTTCTTGTTTGTGTTTGCTCGCTTGTATGCCCTGCATAGCTATAAGAAATACTTAAGTTACTGGTCAAGACAAAAAAGTAGAAAACATTACATTCAGTTCTAACTGCCAAAACAAACATTATTTACACTATTATGGCCCCTGTTAAAAATGTTTGTAATGTTATCTACTGTAAGTTGGTCGAACGAATGCCTCCTCATCCGGAATCTGACCGAGCAGACCCGAGCAGCAGTCGAGAGGAGCCGAGCGCATCCGCGAAGCATACAAAATGGCGACGTCAGAGTTCCCGTTGGCCGGCAAATCTAAATCTCTTCGGTCACAAATAATTTCCCTTTAGCACAATACCGCTTCAGTTGCGCCACTTATGTGACAGACAAGAAGAGTATGTGACAGACAAGAATAGTCAATTCTAATGTCTAACACTTAATGTGGAGAAAGAGATGTCCTGTATGGGTTGATTGTGCGTTGATCTGTTGGTAATGCCTCGGGGTTCCGGTGGGCATGTAAACAAATGCATAATGCTGCGCTATACTTTGTGGCCTCACCCAGTTGCATAGCGACACTTATTGTTTAGGTGTCTTTTAATAAGCAGGTAGTCATATCAATAGCTGGATCTGATCGATATGGACATAAACGCGAGTGAAGTCTAATCTGACGGGAGAGAGAGATCAGCTGCTGCTGACGAGTCGACACGCAGCTCTGCATGATCACATGCAGCGGTGAGCGGACAAAACACACACTTCAGGTTAGAATATCACACGTAGCTATTTTAATTACCTCTCAAACTACCTAAACTAGTTATAGATATGTTTAGTTTTACTGTCGGGTCACTCATTACTGGATCCGCGAGCTGCATGATACTGGCATAATAGATTGCCCGATCGGGCAACCAGCAGGTGAGGCTTCATTGCCCGAGCTAAATACTAGATGGCCCCGGGCCATCGGGCAGTCCTTAATGTCGAGCCCTGACAGTGGTTTGACGTTAGCTAATTGTTCCTCCCAATACAGAGGAGTTTTAGGGGCTTTCATGAGAATATCTTTTTCATGCTCACATTACTTCCGTTCATAACTTTTCTTAGTTCCAAAGAGTAAGGGGTTTTTCATTTTTTGGTCTGAACCTCTCTATTTTGGGCATGTCGTCACATGTTCCTTTTTTCTTCCCGTTTCTTTTCTATTTGGAATTTTAGCGGGGTTGAATTTGATTAACTTATGACCGTTTGAAAAACAATGCTGTTCTTTGTGGAGATGGGACAATCCCAGTTCTTCCAACAACCGTTTCCTTTTGTTCTGAGCTATTAATAGATCTGTTCATAACAGATAGAAGAGTTTCCAAAGTGTTCTCACAACACACCCTGTGTGTTATTCTAAGCTCTGGTTGGTTAGTGCAGCTTCCTTTCCCTCTCCCTGTCTTTGTGGAGCTCGTATCTTTGTCTATATTCGTGCCTTTAGTAGCACACGTATGTGTTGACTCAAGTGCCAAATCTGTTACTCATTGGCCCAGCCTTATCACGTTTCCTGGGAATTTCTGGGTACTTTGAGCCTGCGGAGCTCATCAGGGAAATACCTTGGTCTCCAGGGGAAAACATGTCTGTCACATGTGGTTACGGGCACAGGAAACCGAAACACACTGATCTCTTTCCACGATTGAAGACCTACAGGTGTTACACATCAACTAGCTTATAACATTTGTATTGAATTTCACCCACCTCTCAATGCATGTGGGTGTATATGTCATCAAACGGATAACATCTGTATGGGATTTCAGCTTAGACAGTGTGCGACCTGTGCCCGTCTTCACCCTGTGTGGGCTCCCCTTCAATGAGCTTTTTAGTTACAGGAGACCTGCTGAGTGGATGTTAAAAGTCTGCTGAGGACACATGACAGCATGGTGTGTAAGACAACCCAGAAGCGACCCAAGGTGGTTCACATTAGGGTCACAGACCTCTTTGTCTTATGGGCTGACCTCAGGTATAATGGGCCACTAAAAGGAACAAAGGCTCTCACTTAAATCGAGTTGTACCACCGGGGTCAACTGAGAGCTTTTTCTATATAAGCAGGAAGTCTACTGAATGGAGAAGAACACCAAATGACTTGTATGTTCCCTCTCATTTAGCCATGTAATGATATAGCGGTGCACCAGCATTTAATCTACGGCAGACACACTGACATTACACACTTTTCCTGATTGCTGACTAGCTTTAAAATCCTTTAAAAAGATTGAAAAATAGTTAGATGCATCAATTCCTTAAACCTCTAATCGGTCTGAGTTGTTTTGTTTTTGTTATTATACCAACATAGAGTAAGCTTCTACATTAAAGAGGGGTTAAATGTGTAACAAGTTTAGTTCAGGGAATGTTGGTTTTAACGTTAGACAGACTTTAGGGAAACTAATGGCAAAAATATTGTTTTAAATCTCCCAAAACATGAATTGATCTCTTAACCAACTAAAAACAGATTGGTAAACGTATGATTTTAATTTCTGTTTCATTTTCTTTGTCGGGGAATTTTTAGGTGACTTTTGAAAATGTGCATGAAAGCAAAAGTATTTAAAAACAAAACAAAACATGCTTCTGCTTATTCTGCATGCTTGTGACTGTCTGTCTGGCTATGAGTCATGTAAGAGAAATCACCGTGAGCGGGTTTACTTAGGAAACAAAGGGGGCGTCTTATGGGGTAGATAAGGCTATAAAGTTTTTAATGAGCCACACATTGTCTGCATGTTTACCGCGAGAGCTCAAGCCTCTCATGCTTTTCATCTCTGTGCCACTCTGAGGACCTAGCCACAAAGCCTTTTACACATACTGGAAAGACATGTTTCATCTCTACACTCCCAGTGTGGTAAGCTCATTTTCAGCTCGATCCAGATGGTGTTTTAAGTCTGCCTATTTTCTTCAAAAAAGTTGCACTTTGAACTTCTGATCCGGTTATGTGCCTAAGTGCTTTGGTCTGGTTAACAGTGACAATGTCCTTATTTTGTTTTTACCTCTCAGTGCCATTTCTCTCCACATTCCTTTCTGTCTTTTCCATTCAAAGTTTATAGTATCCTCAAGAACTAGATTACAGAGCTAGAGTTTTATGTGTCTCACTGAAGCAGTGTATCCAACAACCTCTTTTGTTTTATTTTAGAAATCCTTGAAACGCTGCTTTTACGGTTAACTTCCATATGGCGCTGTGGTACGGTAACATATCTCCGGTGTTTTCATGGAGAACCAATGATACCACATGTGAACTGACCTTTAGGCATCCAGCCATGACTGCAGCAGCTCATGTTAACCATGCAGATATGGTATTAATCAGGGTGGATTACAGGGTTTCCTTTTTAAATATATCAATTATAATTTTATTAAACATTTTTAAATAAATGGATGGATTGAAATTGATATGATAAAGGCGGTCATTTGGTCACAAAAATGTAATGTACATTCGTAGATGGCGACAATTTCTGATGTAATGTACCTCAGAAAGATTTCCAGGTCGGTTCT